CACCTCAACTGCTATTATGCAGCTACGTGCCTGCATTCGAAATGAGTCTCATGCAGAGATATGGATCATAGACCACTGTACAGCCATGTAGATGCAGAGAGATGCGGGTATTAGCCAAGAGTAAGAATACAGCTGGGGGAGGGCGGAGTGTCTGAGTGGACACTGTAGGCAGGGTCCCTGCCTCTCTTTGGGGGTGGTGGTTATAATAGTCCTCTGTAGGATTATCATCAAGTTTGTGGTGTAGTGGCTGGCAAATGGTGAGCACTCAGTTGGAGAAGTTATTAAGATCACCTCCCCCCCCCATTGTTTGTAGGCTTTAGAAAGTGATTTTGTAACTCCCCAGGGAGCTAACTGTGGTGGCACTGTAAACCGTTTTCAGGGTTTAAGGCGGGAGATGGAATTGCTACATTGCATGTGCACAGTTGACGTCATAAGGAAAGCTTTAGGAAAACAAGGCAGGGGCCCTGCAGCCTGTGCAAGAAGGAGGGCTGAGCGGCGCTGGCTGGTTCACCGTGCCCGTCACCACTTGTTTACAGCGCGGCAGTCACGTTCTCAAACATCATGAAGGGCTTCTGCCCGTGTTTGCTAAGAGCCTAATGACGGGGCTCAGGGCAAGGGGACAAGGAGCTGCGTGTCCTCCCGTGCAGGTCTTCCGTAAGAGCTGTTGTTTGGGTGGAACGTCTTCTCCCGGATACAGATAGATCGAGCGCAAGGTCCCTTCTGTTTATTAAAATGTGTAAGTTTCAGGAATAAATTGTAGGCCCTTATTTGTCTGAAAGAGAATGGGTTGGTGGTATTTGACTCTTTCAGGAGATTGCTAAATGATTTGGGGGTTTTAGCTTCTTGGAATATTAAGAATGTGTATTGAAAGTGTTTTCTTCTTATTCTATCACTAGAGAAATTTCACTATTTTTGGAGATAGAGTTTGTTAAAAACTGGGCAGCACTAGCTGGAGGTTTTTGAAGGTGCACACTTTTTAATTATTATTTAAATCATTTTATTGGGGGATCTACTTCTTGATCCACCCATCCATTGTGTCAAGCACATTTGTACATATGTTGCCATCATCATTTTCAAAACATTTTCTTTCTACTTGAGCCCTTGGTATCAGCTCATTTTCCCCCTCTCCCCCCTCCCTCCCTGATGAACCCTTGATAATTTTTTTTTTCATGTCTTATACTGACCACTGGCTCCGTTGTTCTGCTGCCAAGAGCGTGCAACTAATTTTGGTAACTAATGGACACATGGGAGCTTCCTTCTTTCCGGCCTTCATAGTGTCTGTCAGGAC